CTCCATCTTTTTGCTATTGTAAATAGTGCTGCTATGAACATTGGTGTGCATATATTTTCTCGTGTTGTGGCTCGTTTTTCTTGTGGGTAAATACCTGATCAGGATTTTTAAAAAAATTGAATTAATAAAAAAATGCGCCATGATACTTAAGATTATATCAGAAATAGTTCTGTTTTCTTCAGAAGAAGCTTTTTAAAAGTCCCAAATGCTTATGTGCCCAGACAGAAAGGTCTGGAAAGATACGCAATGACTTTCTGTGGTTTTTATTACCTAAAATATCATAATTTTAAAAAATGAGCACAGGTTTGGTGTAGGAAAAGAAACATAAAAAAATTTTTTAAATACATAATAATAATGAATCATTAAAAAAAGTATTAGACACTAATGACTGAAAACAAGAGTTGTAGTATGACATCAAGAACGTCACATAGGAAGAAAGTAAAAGGTCATTAAGAAGACCAGAAAGAAAGAAAGAAAAGATCAAAGTGGTTATCAGAAGAGACTGTGACACTTAACTTTCTCCATAAAGAAGCTAAAGTGAATGGAAGAAATGAGGAAGTAAAAAAGCTCAACAGAAATTTTCAAAAGGCGGCTTGAGAAGACCATGTAAAGTCTTATAATGAAATGTGCAGTGATCCTGGAGTTAGAAAGCCAAAAAGGTAGGACATGCTTAGCATTTCTCAAACTGAAAGAACTAAAGAAAAATTCAACCCTCAACTTGCAATGTTGAAGAATTCTAAGGGCAAAGTGCTCTCCTGGTGTGTCATTGTAGAATAAGCACTGGACCATAATGTTGGCTTGAATTGTAAGGTAGGCAGTTCAGACCCACCAGCACTTGGAAGCCCTAGACAAGGTCACTATGAGTCTGAACCAACTTGATGGTACTTACCAGCAACAACATGGGGAAAATACTGAATGATGCAAAAAGCATCAAAAGAAGATGGAAGGAATACAGAGTCACTCTAACGAAAAGAAATGGTCAATGTTCAGCCATTTCAAGAGGTATCATATGATCAAGAACCTATGGTACTGAAGGGAGAAGTCCAAGCTGTACTGATGACACTGGCGAAAAACAAGGCTCGAAGAATTTGTGGAGTACAAATTAAATCTTTGAACAACTGATGCAGCACTGGAGATGTTCACTCACCAAGACCAAGAAATTTGGAAAACAGCTCCCTGGCCAACCAACTGGAAGAGATCTTTATTTGTGCCCCTTGCAAAGAGAGGTGGCCCCATAGAATATGGAAATCATTGAACAAATATCATTAGTATCACATGCAAGTAAAGTCTCTGTAGATAATTCTAAAATCATTGCTACAGTACATCAGCAGGGAACTGCCAGAACTCAGAAGCTGGATTCAGAAGAGGATGTGGAATGAGAGATATCATTGCTGATGTTAGATGAATCTTGACCGAGAGCAGAAAATACCAGAAAGATGTTTATTTATGCTTTATAGACTGTGCAATGGTATTTGACTGTGTAGGGCATGAGAAACTATAGATAGCATTGCGAAGAATATGTATTAGAGAACACTTCATTATGCTCGTAAGGAACCTATATGTGACCAAGAGGTAGTTATTAGCACAGACAAGGGGACATTGAATAGTTTAAAATCAAGAAAGGTGTTTGCCAGGGTTGTATCCTTTTGCCATACTTAAATCTGTCTGTTTGCTGAACAAATAATAAGAGAAGGTGAATTATACGAAGAAAACCATGGCATGAGGATTGGATGAAGACTCATTTACAAAATGTGATATGCAAATGACACTACCTTACTTGCTGAAAGTGAAGAGGGCTTCATATATTGATGATGATCAAAGACTATAGCCTTCAGTATGGGTTGCACTTCAATGTAAAGAAAATGAAAATCCTAACATCTGGACCAAAAAATTATATCATCCTAAATGAATAAAAGATTGAAGATGTCTAAGACTTCATTTTGCTTGGGTCTACAATCAACACTCATGGAAGCAGTAGTCAAGAAATCAAACTATGTATTGCAGTAGACAAATTTGCTGCACAAGATTTCTTAAACATGCTAAAGAACAAAGATGTCAGTATGAGGACTAAGGTGCACCTGACCCAAGGCATGGAATTTCAGTTTCCTCATATGCTTGTGAAAGTTAGACAGTGAATAAAGTTGACCTTGGAAGAATTGATGTATTTAAATTATGATGTTGGAGAAGAATATTAAAAGCACCAACAAATATGTGTTGGAAAAAATACTGCCAGAATGCTCCTTAGAAAATAGGATGACAAGACTTCATCTCTCATACTCCAGGCATGTTATCAGGAAAGACCAGTTTCTATAGAAGGACATCATGCTTGGTAAAGTAGAGGGTCAGTGAAAAAGAGGAAGACCCCAGTGAGGTGGATTGACACAGTGGCAGAGCATTGAGCTCAACTGTAACAATGATTGTGAGGATGGTGCAAGACTGGGTTTCATTTTTTGAGCATCAGATTGCTGTGAGTTGGAACTGACTGGGTGGTACCTACCAACAACAATAATAACCCACTGCTGTCAAGTCAATTCTGATTTATAGCAACCCTGTATAGAGTTACCAAGGCTGTGAATCTTTTTAGAAGCAGAAAGACTCATCTTTCTCCCATGGAGCAGCTGGTGGACTTGAGCTGCGTATCTTGTGGTTAACAGCACAGTGCTTACCCCACTGTGCTACTAGGGCTTCTTCAATAAGAATCAAGCAAATATAGTTAAACTTTATTTTTATCTAGCAGAGGATTAATAAGCACTTTCCAACTTTATTTTCCATCTAATTTATTAATATTTTTCCCTTTAACAGACCTTATTCACATTTACTTTCCTGGGGTTACAGTCAGCTGATCCTTCATCTCATTCAACTTCCTGCAGATTTTGCAACCAAAGAAAAAATGGCTGATATCTGTAGGTCTGGTGGGTGAGTGACAATTTTATTGAAGCTGAGATGAGGAATAGAATCATTTCAGTTATTAACTTTGTAGCTCTGGTCCTGATAAGTTTTATCATTTGGGAATTATCTTTGCTATATAAAATTAAAAGTACCTTTTTGTTTTAAGTAGTAGTAACATTTATTTTCTTTTAATTTTGTGCATAATTTTTCTTTGTGTAGAAGAGGTTGACCCTTGCTAATCTATGAGTCGGAACCAACACCACGGCACATAACCATCACCAATCCCACTTTGTCTTTTTTCCTAGTTGTTAACCACAATTTTCAGGCTTGTAGATGATATATAATGAGTCACCAAATTATATGATACCAGTTAAAATTGGTGTGGTGAGGCGTAGGATAAGTACTGGACTGCTAACCATAGGGTCGGCAGTTCAAACCCACCAGTCACTCCTTGGAAATCCTATTCATGGTTGCTGTGAGTCAGAGCCATCTCAGCGGCACTTAACAACAACAACAGTTAAAATTAGTACTCATTTTCTGAGAAGGGAATAGAATCACTGGTGAAGGCCTCAGGAAGGAGGTGAGACTGTGGAAGTGAGCACAGAAGGCTGGATAGGACTTGGATTTGTAAAGGAGTTGGGAGGAAGAGGAGAGTAGAGAGAGTTAGGAGGAAGAGGAGAGTAGAGAGAGTTAGGAGGAAGAGGAGAGTAGAGAGAGTTAGGAGGAAGAGGAGA